TACATAGATATTTGAGATATTTTTTTATCTTTTTTATCGAAAATAAACGAATTTTTACATTTAAATACTTAAGACACATCGGCATCTCAGTCTTCCTATAAATACTGATCTTGGTGATATTTGTAAAAAAATGAGTAAAACTATATACGAAAGAAGTTTTGTATTTCTTTGATTTTGATATATCTGTTATCAATGCATAATGTTAAATTTTATATTTCATTCTTTCTATATTATTGCATGTCTTAAAATCAATAAGAGTCAAAAATCAGATGAACACATGTGAATAATTCTTCTTGAAAGAAGAAATATCATTCTCATTAATCTAAGGTAGAAAGATATAGATTGAAAAGAGATGGGTGTGGTGTGGGTCTGAAATGGATAGAATATTCTTACAGCCATCCACACCTACACCCACACCCTCAAGATGATCACCCAATAGATCTCAGATTGGAAGTCCCCGCATCGAAACATCTGTAAAAATGTGTTTTACATAAAACTGGTTTTCTATGTTCTTTTGACCTTTCATCCACACTCACCCACCCCTAACAATGGTTACCCAAGAGACCTCAGATTCGATGTCTACGCATCGAAATATCTCTAGATATGTTATTTGTAAAAAATCAGCTTTCGGTGTTTTTTTGACCCTGTGGACACACAAACAACCAAAGAAACAAACACTTTATATTTACTGGACTCTCCTCTACGAGAAAGAGAAAGAAAACGTGTGTATTTAAGTATAACACGAGCGAAAACAAATATATTGTATTCAAAATGGCGACTGGTTCGGATGAGAAAAACGTTCTTAATAAAGTAATAAAAATTAAGATTAATTAAGAATTATTACAAAAAACTTATTTTAGGTAAAGTTTGGTTTGAAATTGGAAAGCGAATTAATTAAGAATGATGTTCCATGTGACAATCAATCTGGAAAAGTTATGAAAACGCTATCGGATGATACTGATAAGTATTCAAAGAACTTATATAATTCAAGATTTAAAAAGTGTAAGCAAACCGTATTCTTTATTAACTACATAAACTACTCAGTAATTTCTTTAGTATGTAACGAAAACAATAGTGATGATGGTGTTTATGATAATTCACAAATTAGCAACGAATTAATGAAATACTTGGGAATTGATAATGACAGTGAAACAAAAGCATTTCTTGAAAAAAATCAACAATTGATCTCATTACAATCATATGAAAAATTAATTGAATTAGTAATCAATAAAGAAATGAGCGACGTAATTTGTTCTTTAATTTAATACTTAGAGTGTGGGTGTGGGTATAAGAATTTAGAAAGAAGAGGAGCTACACTCATACCCACACCCTCAAGATGGCAACGTAAACGATGTTAAAACGGCAAAATACTGCGAGAATTAATGCAGTAATACACCGTTTTATTATCATTTCAGGCCGTTTGAGACGCCATTTCTGATGGCCCGAATAATCGTCCTGGGTATGCCGCAATGGAGTTGTATACGCGTCAGGCGCTTATTATTAAATACATTCATGAATCAACATTAAAAACCATAAGCAGTAGGCATCGATGCATCCAATTGTTCTTCATCAAGTAAAACAAATCATTTTTGATTTTCACATAAAAAAAAATTTTTTTAGAATCGCCTCTGACAAAGATTATTATGATCAATTCAAGAACGATGTTAATAAAATACAGAATGATACTGTAGAAACAGCTGTTCAACGAAATGAAAAACTTGAGAAAGTAAATTTATTTGAGTCAAAAAAAAGTAATAAAAAATAATGTTTCTTAGGAAGAACAAAACAAATATTTATGAAGAATGCATAAAGATATCCCCAAGGACAATGATTCCTGAAGCGGCATTCTGTGAATTTCCGTCTGAAAACCGCAGAAAAAAGTTCGTTTCGAAGTCGAATTGTTCAACTTGGGCAATACTGTTTTTTGATGAAAAACAAAACAGTTTGAAACATATTTCAAATTTTTTTACTCAACTCAATTTGAATATTACTTTCCTTTTTAAAATGTATTTTATTAATAAAGGATTGAGAATATCAAAAAGATTTGTTTTTTATTTGTCTATCCTTGAAAAAGTAGTGATATGACTCTCTTCTATACCTTTAATTTATGTGTTATTCAGCTGCTGTAATTTTTTCCTGATACATTCTGTTAGACCTTTTCTTTTCTTGTTTCTTCCGTATTCAACACTAGTTTTTTCTCTCCTTCTTCGTGATGATTCACGCATTTTCTGTTCTCTTTTTTTTCTCATTATTACTTTTATTACTTTTTTTCATTTTTGTTATTATCTTGCACTGTTAGGATCATATCATCGCAGTTTTGTAAGCACAAATAAAAACATATTTACTTTCGCTCGAATATTATAATTTTTTATATTGATACTTGAATATGATAATTTTTCATGTTAATATTGATACTTGAATATGACAATCTATTATGTTTCCAAATCGATGATTTCATTACTGTCGAATTCGAATACAGAATATTGTGTTTATTTACGTCTTTGTGCAATTATTTCACTTCAATAAAAACGGAAGTAGGCATAGTATATAATAACTGTATTAACTTTGAATTCGTAATATAAATATGGCATTCTTACGAATTCTATGTCTTCTTGTTATAAGTAACATACATCATGTGAAGGTTGTCACTGGTATATGATGAAATCGATAGGACCTTTATAATCTTACACATGCTCTTTTTCATTGTCGTCAATAGGAAAATTAGGTGTAACTGCTGTGAAGGATTATCACACGGCCGAATTTGGCATCGATTATATCGGTTGCCGTGATTGGACAAATCCAAAAGGTATGGATTGTAATCCTTATCAAGGTGATACAAATTGCGATACGGAGCTGCCAATGCTGTGTATTCGAGTGGATCACAGTCCTCGCCCTCCATATATTATTTATGGCAACGGTGCTGCTATGCCAGCTGCCAATTATTATGGGTGGAGCGGAGGTCATGTGTCTACTACCCTGCCAGTTAAGGCAGCTCGCTTTAGGAATCGTGCTGAAGCAAACAGATTCTGCGCTGAAGCACTAGGTCAAGAGTGGGAAGTTGCCGGAATATGGGGTGCTCAACCCCATTGGATTCCCGGTATGAATGGAACCAAATACGCGGGTACTGAATGGACAGCAAACAAGGATAAACTCCTTGGTGGAGGATGGAGTTTCTATACTTACGGTAATGTGCGTAATGATACTCGATTTTGGATTCAGGGTCCACTTGATCAATCATCAACATGTTGGGAACAATAATTCAGTAAAGGATGTTTCGCTATATGGATGTAAACACGTGTGATTTTTCTTGAATGAAGGATTCTAATAAAAATGAGCGCTATAAAGTAGCGTATTTGAGAAGTAAAAGTTGTGCTGGGCAACCTGTTTGGCGACAAAAAATGTATTGAAAGTTATTGGTAGATTCTTGAAGGTGTGGGTGTGGGTATGGGCGAGATTGTGGGTGTGGGATAGCAACAACACTTACAACTGCACCCACCTACGTTCACTCCCATACTTTCACCCACATCCGCACTTCGTATTGACGGGGCTGTTGTTGTAACAGTTGAATTAGATGCAGCTGAACTAGAGACTGAGCTAAAGTCTTCTTTCGGTTTTTGTGCGCCCATATTAATGTGAGCTGTAACTTGCCGATGATTGTGGATTTGCAATTGAGTGTGATGGTTAGAGCGACAACAGAGATTACACTATCGATTTATATAGGCAACGATTCGCTTCTTCTCGATTTTTTTGCGACGCACAATGTTTGTATTATTTTGTTGACATAAAAAAGGGAATCTCGCCACTTAGTCATTATTAAGAGCACACTATGGTGAAAAATAACATAGAGAGACAGAGAAAAATTAATCAAATCCGAACAAACAAAAACACAAAGAAGCCAAGTAAGCATTTTAATTGATCATTTTTCTTTCCAACTTTGTCATATTTATATCTGCGCAATTATTTCAATGTGTCACGACGTATATGAAATTTTCAGTTAATTTCATTTTTTTTCGTTCTTTCTTTGCCATTCATCATCGTGTTATTTCATCAACGAGATTTACGATAAATATATATTAATCCTTCTACTAACACCGGATCAGTCAACTAGGAAGATTAGATTTTGTACTCACGGAAATAAGATTGAAATAGAGCAGTTTTATTCCACAAATTTTAATATTAGTGAATGGAGAAACTGAAGCAAATCATACAGAAATCTGGCATTAAAATAAATATATATCAGTATAATCGTCCTTATGATAAATGTAATTTAATAAAACAACCATTATCAACAGTATTTGGATTAAATTGTGTATCCTATATGGATGTCTTGGTTAAAATTTATTCAGAAGGATTCGTTACACTATAAATAATTTGAGGTACGTCATAAAATTAATGGACACATCCTATCTCACATTAACAATAGATTCTATACATGTGTTGTTTTGCTTATATTCATAGACTATGCCTTTTATCACTCTTAGCCTAAGTGCAAAAATAAAAAGCCATTATCGAGAGTAGGCCTTATAGACATGACCGACAGGGCATCACAGACGTGGCTGATACGGCGAGTGTGGGTGTGTATCTTCTCTCAGCTCACACCCACTCACACCTCCGATCCGATCCGGTCTAGTATGAGCTTTTTGGACTGGTTCCACCTATGGAACGAAGAAAGAGAATCTCGCTGTCTAAAATGTATATATAAATATGTGTAGACTATTCTGTGCAGCCGAAAAATATCTGATGAAGAAATGCAGTGCATTTCGAAAGCTAACTTTTTCTTTTGAATAAATAAAAGGTGACATATTTTTCAGTATGAGTCATCTGACGGTTACTTTTATTTTATGTAAAGTAACCAAGTTAAAACAGAAAAAAGGAAAAGAAAACGAAATCGAACATTTGTATTAATTCTGTAAAAAATAAAATATACCACATTTTTTTTAAGATAAATATTTGTTGTCTTTCCTGTATAGTCTTTCATTAATATTTTAAACGTAATTAAAATGGTACTTGCAAATCTAGTTGTCTATCTACTGGATAAATACTTGAGTGATTATATCGAAAATTTAGATACAAAAAAACTTAAAATTGATTTATGGAATGGTGAGTATACTCAAAGAAAATTTTCATCGTTTGATTTCATACTAAAATCATTAATTATCCATAGGAAATGTTGTTCTTGAAAATCTATATCTAAAATCCAACGCACTGGTAATTTTATTTTATAGGCTATAACTCAAAAATAATTTTTTTATTTTAATTTCCAGGCGGATTTAAATCTTCCTGTCACTATATCAATTGGATATTTACGTATGTATTATCTTGTGTAATTTTATTCAAAAAAATAATTAATATTCTTCTTCAGAAAAATTAATACTTCAAATTCCATGGACAAATTTATATACACATTCAACAAAAGTAACAATCGATGGACTTTTTGTACTAGTTATACCAAAAACTGGTTCGTTGATTTGTTATCTTTTAGTATATTTACACGTCGAGTAAATATTTTTAGAAGTCGAATATGATGCCCAAAGAGATGCAAAAGAAAAACATGAAGCTAAAATGAAAGAAGTTCGAAAAGTTGAAAAACTTCGAAAAGAAAAAGAAGTTGAAAGTAATATAAAAATAAATTAAAATTATTCATTTAATTGAATATATAAATAGAAAATGCCAAAGGAAATGATAAAAATAACGATACTTTACTTGAACGTATGCAACTTCAAATTATTCGAAATTTGGAATTATCAATTCGAAATATTCATATTGTTTATGAAGATAAATCAACTAAACCAAATCATCCATTTTCATTTGGAATAACTCTTAATTATATATCACTTCATGTAATATACATACATTATATTTATTGATTTTATTTCATGTATATATTGAATCTCATTTTAAAGACAACAACACCAGATTGGAAATCGGCTATACTCAAAGAAGATACATCATTGATTCATAAAGTAAGATATTAATCAAAAATCTTTTATTCTCACAAATTTTGATGAATCATAAAATGTTCGTGCGTTGAATTCATATGCAAGACAGAAAGAAGAAAAGATTATTTCTTCTGAATGATAAGGAAAGCGTAAAATCTATGTAGCTCTTTTTCGACTATGAGACTGAAAGGATTAATATAATATATCATATTTCATATAGAGATAAGTCTACCGATCACTGTATTAAGTTAAAGTTATTTAAATATATGATAATAAAAACGAATAATTATGTTTAGCTTGGTGAATTAAGTGCTTTATCAATTTATTGGAATACAAATGCTAAATCTCGAACAGATTTAACAAGAGATGATGCCATCGTAAGTTCATTTATTTATGTCTCGTTTATATTTCTCTTTGTATTTTAAACTATAGAATAGTTTAAAAGAAAAAATAGCTATTGATAATCAACACGCACCATCTGATATCTCATACAGTATGATTTTATTTTAATATGTTATTATCCAATAGAATATAATTTTAGTTCTTCGTCCACTTAATGTCAAAGCACGACTTGCATTAGCAATGAAACCACGTGAAGAAGACTTTAAACGACCTATGTTTGATATTAAAGTTGATTTAGATGAAATCAGTCTTAATATGAATCGTGATCAAGTAAAAAGTCTTTAACAAAAAAAACACACATAAATTCTTATTGAAATTTTTTTCTAGTATTCGGATTTACTTGATCTTCTTGAATTTCTAGGTTATCTTCGTGTTCAATCCAAATATATAAAATATCATGTGAAAAAAGAATTAGTAGAAAAGAAAACATTAAGAAAGTAAAAAAGAATTTTGCTTTGATTTATTTGAAGAAAAATTTATTTTCATATTTAGTTGGAAATTTGCTTATGAAGCAATTGTTAATGAAGAAATTCGACCAAGATTTGATTGTTATAAATGGGAAAATATAAAAGCACATTTAAAACGTTGCAGAGAATATCGTACATTACATTATCAAAAATTAATAGGGAAACTAACCCAGGAACAAAAAACTCGTGCAGAAGTGAAAAAATTTTATTATTGAATCTAAATTTAAAACATTTTGATTATTTTTATTTTAATTAAGGAATTAGAAAAAAAACTTGATGTTTTTAATTTAACATATATTCGTCGAAGTGCAGAAATTGAAGCTCGAAAAAAGGAAGAACAAGAACCTAAAACTTGGCGGAGAAATGTATCAAAATGGTGGAACAGAAATCAACCAAAAGATCATCCAGGTTTTTTTTATCTTCATATATATTTCTTTAATTAATATGATCCCTTTCGATTTGTATCTATTCAGAACTTAATTTAGAAAAAGACATGTCACCAGAAGAGAAGAAAAAATTATATGACGCTATTGGTTATGAAGGAGAAGATACTTCAACGTCAACTTATCCAGAAGAAGTTTGTTTTAAAAATAAATCAAAATTCTTTATTTATAATTATTCTATATGTTTTTAGTATGTTGATATTGATTTAGCAATTCGATTAAATATACTTAATGTTAATATTTGGTCTAAAATTAACGAACATGATACTCAGTATGGTTATCTATAAAAAAATGTATTACAACTATTATATTATTTATTATAGATTTCAAGTTATTGCTCGTGGTGTTATACCTGATACTAGTTTAATATTCAAACGACGACCAGCTAACAATGCTCTTGCGTATGTTCTTTGTTTATTTATGACAGCGTCCAAACTTTGATTATTATTCTTATTGTATAGTATATATGTTGATTTGGGCTCATTTCAAGTATTTGGTATTGCAACAAATTCCAGTCAATCCGAATTATTAAACGATAGTCGACCTGTACTTGTACGTCCATCAGCATTATCATTAACTAATCAACAAAAATTCTTACAAGTAGAATTTGAAACAAATCCATTAGATAAAAAATCTGATTATCGTGTTAAAGTTGTTTCACAATCATTAGAAATAAAATATAATGCTGTAAGAATAAAATTTCTATTTAAAATAAACAAAAAACTTCTAATTTGTTTAGCCAACAATTAATAAATTAGTAGCATGTTTTGAATCCAATGCTTATCGAAATTTACAAGGGTATGAAAAAAATAATTTTTAAGAAATTTTATATTCAATTCGTATTTTGTTTTTAATTTAGTGTTAAACAAGTCGCATATTCAACTTATGCAGATGTTAAACATCGTTCATATATATTAATGAAACATAATATCGAAAAAATCAAAGTTTTAGATATTTATATTGATATTCAATCATCTTATTTTCTTTTACCAGCAAATGGAGTTTACCAAGAGTAAAAGAATGAATTTCCTTTTTCTTTCTGTCCATGAAACAATTGTATTCATTTTAGTAATGCTGCAACAATATGTATGGATTTAGGTCATTTGACATTAAAACGAGGAACAAAATCAAATGATAATGGAGAAGAATTCGTTCCAGCTAAAAAAGCAAAAGTACGTATTAAAATATTTATCTGAAATGCTTATCTTTTTTATCTATTATAGGATATTAAAGATGCTCGAGAAAAATCATATACACAATTTAAATTGAAACTTGAAGATATTCAATTAATTTACGCAAATCGAAGTAAAATAATATTTAAATTAAATCAATTGATAATATTGAGTATTTTTTGTTTGAGTATTTAAGATGAAAGTTGGGAAAGTGCTCGTAAAGAAAAAAATACACGTATACATTTGATTCAACCAATGGAACTTGAATTAGATGTTGATAAATGTATTTATAATGATGATGCTGTGTTACCTGCGTAAGTCTTCTTTTTTCTAGATAAAATTTCTAATTAATATTCTCTTGTTACTATTAGTTGGAAAGTTGCTGGAAATATTCCTAGTGTAGATTTAGGTTTATCAGATACACGCTTATTTCGAATAATGCAGCATATTCAATCAATTCCACTTCCGAAATCGAAAACTAGCGCAATTGTCCAAGCACCAGTCGATGTCGAAGTTTGTTCAATATAAATTTTAGTTTAGAAATCAATGTTTTATGAATTTCAGTCAGTATCTGCACAATTGTTAGTTATTAATACGGAAGAAACATTAGAGGCAGTTGAAGAAATAACATCCGTAAAAAAAACTAAAGAAAAGAAGAAAAAGGAATTTAAAGGACAATTAACACAATTAGAAGCTATGTTTACACTTGATAAAGTAAAAGAAGATCGATGTTATTTAATTATTTAAATAATCTTTTTTTGTTTTCTGTAAAGATTGATTTGCATATTGATAAAGCTGCAAATGAGATTAATGATAAGGATAATGATGAACCATTTCTTTGTTTAACACTTGAATCTATAAATGCTAATACAAAAATAAAAACATTTGATATGGAACTTAATGCATCATTAGCTAATTTCATTGTTTATCATCAACAATTTATTGGTAAAGATAATCAACCATTACGTTTATTATCAGCTCAATTAGATATACAAAATACAATGAAAAAACAGAAATTAGTTAGTTTAAAATTTCTACATACTTCACAAAAAAATCCGTTATTTTCATCTTCAACTTATAATGAAATTGAGAATAAAGCGGATGTTCATTTTAGTAAACTTGTTGTCACATTACAATTAGAAGTACTTTTATCCATATTCAAATTTCAAGATTCATTAATGAAAAAATTACCGAAGGATATAACAGACAATCAAATAAAAGAGCCACCAAAAGAAGAAGTAAAAGCTATTGAAAATAATGAAAAAACAGAAAAGCGTGTTAAGAAAAATGGTAAGATTTTTGTTATTAAGATAAAAGTGATGAAACAAGAAAATATTATTTTGATTCAATATAGAGAAAAAGATTTACAGCATTTTTTCATATATATAAAGTTTATTGACTCGAAAAATTTAAAACTACAAAGAGACAGAAAATTAACTAATGGTGGGCAAAAATGAATCGGATTATTTATCTATTTTTGAAAATCTGTACGATATTGATAAAACAATGTCGATATGTTCTAATAGTAATTGTTGTCGCGAATTATTTGTAGTTTTACGTTAAAAATCTGCATATGTTTGTCTTCTACGAAAAATACTATCTGAATAACTATTTCGCTAAATGCGAACAACTTAAGAAAAAAATTTTATTAAAAAGTATTGCTCCCATATTGCTCTACTTGATTGACAATAATGTAGAACTTCTTAAAAATTTTCGACACAGTAAAATTCTGTGTGTTAAACCAATAACTCTTATTGCAATTGTATTTTACAAAGACACATTGGTAGCCATTAAAAATAAATATTCGATCAGATCAACCTTATGATAATCGTTCACCTGTCATTTGTTGTCTGATCGAGTTTTCCAAAAGCTCCTTTTTTAAACTTGTGTTCTTCAATTTAACTCTAATTACTATTTTGAATTATCAAATACTTAGTTTTCAAACTAATCAGATCTTTCTACTTCTTGAAAATACTATGAGGATATTGGTTTTTTGTCTGGCATACGTAATGCAATTATTGTAAATACCGTATTTTAGTTATTCTATTCAGCTTAGTATATAATACATTCGCAAGGAATTGATTCAGCACCTATTTTTTTCGAGTTAAACAACCCAAACTCCTTGTATTTATTGACTTAATAATCATTGTTTAGATACTCCGGCAACAACTTCACTTAAAATAAATGCTGATCTAGAAGAATTTCGAATAATTCTTGCATCAAAACAAGCACGATTATTTGACATTCAAGTTCAAGGTTTAAAAAAGCATACTTTCTTTAAATCTAACTTGAATATTTCACTTTAATTTAGGTATCAAAGCTAATGTATCAAAATCATCAGAAAAGACATTAGCTAATTTAATTCTATCAGATCTATGCGTTTTTGATCCGTATGAAGGAGCACGATATCGAAAAGTATGACAAAAATGATAATTTGTTATTTTAAAATGTTTTTACTCTTATTTCTCAAGATTGTTTCTCAACAAGGCGATGATAAAGATTTACTTCGTGTTGATTTATCCTTATTTAATTATCCAGTGGAATATAAAAAATCTCTTGATATTTATGACTGTGATGTAAAAGTTGAATTTGCTAAAGCCAATATTGTCTTTCTGTTCAAACATATCGATGTACTTTTAGTGAGTAATTTTCAAAAATAACATTATCGTATACTTTCTATTTTACTTCATTTTTCTAAAGGGTTTTCTTCAAACACTAAATATAACTAAATCAGCACTTGATTTAGCATCAACACAAGCAGATGCTGCCTATGAACAAGTACTAAAATTACAAGAACAAGCATTTAAAGTTCATCTCGATATAACATTTAATGCTCCAAATATAATTATCCCAACAAATTCATATTCTGATGAAGCTTTATTATTTGATTTGGGTAGATTAACATTATTAACACGTTTTTATGATGATCCAGAACGTTCACTTGTTGAACAACAAAGTGTTCGATTAGAAAATGTTCTTGCTAGTCGTGTTAAACTTAATCATGATAATAATATTCTTGGTGAAATTATTTTACTTGAATGTGCGGAATTAAATATATTAATTAATCGTTTACTTTATCCTGAAAAAGTTAAACATGAACCAGGAGTTTCAATTAAAGTTGAATGGGACTTAGTTCATGTATGTTTTTATGATTTTATTTTTTTAAATATAAATTGAAATTTTTTGTTCTAATAGTTTCGATTAGCTAAAGGTGATTATTCATGTGTTATGAAAGTCTTAATGGAAAATTTTACAGAAAATATTCGTGATCAAATACCTGAAACTGCACAACTTGAACAATATCATTATAGACAAGAAGAACAAGAAGAAGCAGAAGAAGCTTTAAGAAATGCTGTAATTAAAAGACAACAAGGTTCGAAATAAAATATATATATTGATTGGAAAAAAACAACACTTCTCTCTTTCTAGATGCGCATGGTGGTGAAGTTTTACAAACAGTTAAAATTCGAGCAGAAATTAAGAAACTAGCATTGACACTTTACTTGGGAGAATCAAATTTGGTAAGAGAAATATTCACAATTGTTTATAAACCTTTAGATTTCACCTCTTAATTATAACGAAATTCGAAAGTTACAGGTTTAAATATTTTTGGTAGATTGTTCGTCGTGCACCACGTGATGAATCTTATAAATTAGCTAATGTTCAAATACAATTATTAGAAGCATTATTTCGTCACCAAACTGATTCAAGTTATAAAGCAATGGTACGTGTTAAAAATTTTCTAGTTGATGATTTACGTAAAACAAATAAAGCAACAAGTGTAACACGTATGATGGATAGACATTTTACAGTTGATCCAAATGCTCAAATGGTTATTGCATCATTTGAATTTAAACCAAAATCTCCAACAAACTCAATGGCACTTCGACAATGTAAATAAATAAAATAAAAAAATTTATTTTTTATTTTTTATTTTTGAAATTAATAGTGAGTGCTCAACTTGAAAGTTTTTATATATGTATCAATCTGGATTATTTAATGACATTACAAGATTTTTTTATATCTGGTTTACCAACTGGTAGTACTAAAACAAGATCTCGTACATCCGCAATGGCATCTGAAAAAGAAATTTCAACTAAACCTACTCCAACTGATAATGATAATAATCGATTAAAAGTAGATCCAACACCAAGTCGACCTTCAGTTACATTAAAAAATTCAGCATCATCATCAAAACGTATTTTTGTTTCTTTTATTTTACACCTAGTATTATTTTTTTTCTTTGTAGCTTCTGCACCTGAACCACCAAGTTCATCTAATGCTGATTCACAGATAGAAACACGAATTGATGTGATTGTCAAAAATCCGGAAATTATTTTACTTGAAGATCAACATAATTCAAATTCGAATTGTCTCGTACTGGACGTATGTTTATAAATTGAATGAAAACAAAAAAGAAAAAATTATATTCTATTTTTTTGTAGTTAGCTTTACAGATGCGTATGATTATTGTTGGTGAAGATTCAAAAATATATATTTGGTTAAAAGATTTAACAGTTTACAGTTCAAATTTTGCAGAATTAAGAGATTCAAAAAATGCTGGTTCAAAAATAAAATATCGCGTAAATAAAATAAGAAAATATTTTATTTAATCTTATTGTTTTCTTATTTAATAAGATTTTACAGCTAGCTAAAGCTGATGTTATTGTAATTATGGATAATCATCAACAAAAAATTAATGTACGAATATCAGATATTATTGTTAGTATTGCACCTGCAGCAGTTAAAACATTAATTGGTGTTACAAGTTCATTAGGAACACTTCAAGTAAATAAATAAATCACGAGAATAATAATTTATATTTATATCTGATTTTTATTAGGCAAATGCTGTAGAAGAAAAAGAAAAAGTTAATTCAAAATCATTATTTACTCCAAAAACATTTAAAGATTCAGGTCTTTGGTATATAAAAGGTTTTTATTAAATCATTTTGTATATGAATTGATCTATTAAAATTTATTTTAATAATAGAATATGAAGAAAAACAAGCTAAACTTGAATCAACTGATATATTAGAAACTGTTAAAGAAGAAGAAGATAAAACGATAGAAAAAGAAGAAAAAATTGAAGCACAAACCGTTTTAATACAACAGGTAGCAAATTCTTTTAATATAAAAGAAAATTCATTTTTTTCGTTTAGTTAATTTTAACACTGGAGACAATTCAAATTAAATTGGAAGTTGGTTTAGGTTCAGTAACAAAATCCGTTGTCGCAATGTGTTTATCAAATTTAATAGCTGATGTTAAAAATTGGTCAACAGATGTATGTGATTAATAGAATTTTCTTTTCTAGTTCCTTTTCTTTTATCGAAATTTTAGTTAAGTCTTTCGTCAACTGTTAGTATTGAAGCTGCATTATTTAATGAACGGATGCTTGCTTGGGAACCACTCATTGAACCAACAATTGATGCAAGTGGATCTGTTCTTTCACCTTGGTGTATCACATGTTCAATTGTACCTGTAAGTCTTTCGAATGAATTATCTTCTATGATTATTATGCCTCACTAGAGAGCCCTACAACACACGCCCTAGACAGTTATATTTTAATATAAGTTTATTTTACACAAAGAACTTGACCTAATTAATAGATTCAAATTTTGATTATCGATATTCGTTTTAATTTGTGAGCAAAAGGATGAAAAAACAAAGCAGGTAAAAAGTCTCTATAATGTATGTTATCGTTGTATTTGGTGATAAATACCAAACTAACACTAACTAATATATATCTAATCAACTAATTATTGAATAAAAATAAACTTGTTATATATTTAAGGTATTGTCATTAATTGAAAAAAGTGGATCGGCAGTATCAAATGAACAAGAACGAAAAGAGGGTGTACCATCAATAAATTCTAAGCAAATTATATTCATACGTGCCGATCAATTACTTAATTTAACAATAACAAAAACAGGTTTTGATTTAGTTCAACGTTTATCAGTTTTATTCAATGATGTTTATAATAAACGATTACCATTTACTGAAGATAATGATCAGCCAATGTTATCATTATTTAATGGAACTGGACGAGAAATATTCATTGATAATTTAGATGGTCTTGAAGTAAGTTTTTTAAAAATGAAGAAAAAAAAAATAACATTCTTTTCATTGTTTTATTTTAAAGTTTGCTGAAAATATGACACTCACATCAAAAGCTTTAAAACCAGATGGTTTCGTTCCATTGGTTGTAGCAAATGATCGTCAATCAACAGCAAGACTTTCTGTTATTGAAGAACAAGATTTTAAACGACGACAAGAATTTGGCATTAAAGTAAATAAAATTTAAAAAAAATCTATGCATATTTTCAATTCAAATAGCTTGATAAAAATTACTAGTAAATACTTGGAAATTGAATCTTTAAATAACTAAAAGTATAGATTTAATATTGTTTCTGTAAATATGATAACGCTTCAAATTGTCTAATTCTATGAAGAATCGTCTACTCTATTATTCTTTGCAATTGAAATAAGACTATTTTCCAGTATCTTGAATGTTGAAAACTTATATTTATTTAATTTTCTTAGATTGGAGATGTTGTTGAAACTGTTACTATCAATCGAACATGGAAACGTGTTTATGAATTAGGTCCATCACCAAATCCAAATTGGCCAGTTCAAATGCTTTGTGATACACAATTACGAAATGATCGTCGATGTGTTATTCTTAGTTCAATTGTTAAAGTTTATAATAATACAACAATGCCATTAATTATTTTAAATATTGATTCAGTTGATCCAAAAAAATATCATCGAATGGCAAAAATTGATATCAACGATGAATATTATGTACCGATTGATTTACTTTATACACATTCAAATTCACCAATATTTATTTCTACTGATGAGTAAGGTTAATTGAAGAGAGGAAAAAAAAATAAATTCATATTAATTTTATTTAATTATAGAAATGAACATAATGGTGAAATCTATGATTTTTTTTCATTTGATTGGGAAAAAGAATTTTTATCGGAAAAAAAATTAAAATTAAAAACTGGAAAGGAAGCAAATTTTATTGTATGAATATTAGTTTTTAAGAATATATGTACATATATATATTTCTATTTGTCATTTATAGATTTTTAAAGAAATAACAAATTCTTATTCAGAAAATACCGATCAGCTTCATCATGCAAGCTTTAGTCTTTATATTCATCCAGCTCTTCATTTAACTAATCTTTTACCAGTCGATATTCAATGTTCAATTGATGTAAATCAAAGATTTTATTTATTTAAATAGGATTATAGAAATATTAAACTATAGAGATTTATCTGTTAAATAAGTTCGCAAAAGTATTAGTATTTGCATTCTATAACTTCTTTAGCAATTGATTTATCTCGAGCTATCTCAGTTAAAAACTTATAAGCATTTCGCCCGACTACCGTTTGTTAAATTTCCAATGTATACTCACACTGTGTATCGAATTTAGTTTTCATCCTAATTCTCTCAAAGATATAATACGAGTTTATAATCATTGTTAGATTTCTATGAAAAATAATATGTATCTATTCTCGTATTTTAGAATGCTGAACGAATAAATTTAAAACCAAGTGACTTAAATCTAATTACATCTGGCAATAAACAATCTATATTAAGACTTATTGTACATGATTTTCTTTTTCTTTTTTCGGTAAATTAATCTTGTTTTTCTCGATTATTTAGATTCCATCATACAATAATATAAAATGGATATCTGATTCAGTTGATTTAAATGTTGAAGGAAAAGGTGATCATAATGAACATCTTGTCATACTTCATAATTCTAATAATCATCAACAAATATTAGTAAGAAAATAAATTTCAATTTTCTATTGAATAAAGATTTAACTATGTAGAAAATGGTATTACGTGTTGATACATTCCATGAATCATATCGTTTACTATTCTATTCACCATTTTGGATTCTTAATCGTACGGAATTACAACTTGAATTTCAAGTAAGATACTTTACATTTTATATAAAACTTTTATTCTTATTGTTTTTTTTAGATTGAAAATAATCGTGCATTCATTGAAGTTGCTCAAACACCATTTTTAGTTTGTCCAGATAAATTTGGAAGTGATGCAAACAAAAAAGTAATCATCATTTATCAAAGAAAATCAGAAAAAAAACTTAACTATTTTAAATAGGGACAGATTCGTCTTTATAGTACCCAACAAGGAGATAATACAAAAAACTGGTCTAAGAAATTTTCACTTGATGTTATTAAAAGTACTGGTATGGCATCATGTAAAGTTACAAATGATCGAACTTATATGGTAAATAGAAATATAAACAAAACAATTTTCATTTAAATTTTATTTTTCTAGGTTTGTGTGGATATTGCAACATGTTCATTTGGTTTAACAAAAATTGTTACATTATCACCATCAGTCGTTATTATTAATAAATCTACAGTATGTTTAGAAAATCATTCTTTTTTGTTCATTACGTAAACAAAAATAATTTATTTAGATGGAAATTGAAGTAATTGACACAGTATCAGATAGAGAACAAGTTAAATGGCGACCACTTAATCCTGAACAAGTAAATCATTAATTTTTGTTGTTGATAAATTTCCTATTATGTATGAATATTATTAAGATAATTCCATTTTGGCCATATGATATAAAAAAGGGTGTAATGCGTGTTCGATATACACATAATCGTGTTACATCAAGTCCATTTATGATGAATCAAAAACATCGAACACTTTTACGTATGGATGATGAAGAACGTCCAGCAATATATGTTGAAGTCACAGCAACTGATTTTGATGGTGTTCGAGTGATTTTTGGTGATTATAAAATTGGTGATGCACCACTTCTTCTTGTCAACTGTTTGAGAAAAGATCCAATATCATTTTGTCAAGTTGATGATGTGTAAGTTATTAAAGTCTTTTTTTTGTGTAAATGATATTTCATGTTTTTTTTTGAATATATTAGACGTACGCAAGTTTTACCACCACTGAATTATGTTTATTATACATGGTCAGATCCATTGAAACCAAGAGAATTAGTTATCTCATGTGGTTCAAAGAAAAAAACTGTGGAATTAACTGTAAGAAAAATTCTTCTAATGAATATTTTATAAAATCAATTCGATAGTCTCCATCTTAATGAATCATAGCATTTGTTTGTTTAATTGCTCAAAATAATATATATGAATGAGATGAGGTCATATTTATTCAATCAAACATTGAATAAAACAAATGTAGATTAATTTTCATGAATCATGTGATTTTATTAATAACTATTTTATTCATGAGTTCCATACAATCGCTCTAGTCTAATGGTTATCATGTTTGTTAAGTACTGTGTTCGAATCTAGATACAATCGAATTGTTAATTCGAACAATGTATTATTGATATTTTCTATTCGTTTTGTACAAAAATAAAAATACTTTTTCCTTTAGTAATGATTGTTTAATTAACATAAAACTAATCTTTTAGCCTCAATGTGGTTTTCTTGGACAAGATGGTGATCATAATGTTAGCTATACAACATTTGTTGATGGTGTTCAAACTGTATTACTTTTTTCGGATGATACCAAAGTCATTGAAGCTACTTCTGGAGTAAATATTTGATTTTTAATATAACTTAATCTATTTTATTTTTGATCAATTAATTTAGATGCCATCATTAGCAGAATCAATGGGTCAACGTGTTCAAATTGGTATTCATGATATTGGTTTATCAATTGTAAATGATGTAACTCGAGAAGAAATGCTATATATAAGTTTAAATAAATCTAAAGTTGTTTGGACAGAAACAAGAAGATCACGTGTTCGACCATTATCACATGATATGAATATACATTTAGAAGAACTCTATAGAACTCATCTTGAACAACGTGAAGCTAATCCAGATGATAAAGAACTTTTGAAAAATAAATATCATATGGAACAATTTCGTGAAATATCATTTCATGGTGATACAGCCGAATTAGTTAATTCTAAAAGTCAAAGAAAAATAGCTAAACGACAAGCATTAGATGGTCTTTGGATTGAATATGCATGGTCAGTTACAAATGCTTCATTACGTATAAAAATAAATCGTGTACAAATTGATAATCAACTTGATTATACAATGTTTCCTGTTGTTCTTTATCCAATAATATCAAAAGCAACAGGAACGGATCTTGCAGAAAAACCATTTATTGAATTAAGTGTTTATGAATCGAAAACAAGTCGATCAAATGTCATGCAATTTAAATATTTTAAATTACTTATTCAAGAATTTGCTGTTAAAATTGATCAAGGTTTAATTGTTGCTATTTTAGCATTTTTACGTGAAGAAAAAGCTTGTTATTTCAATTTTCCTTTTTTATTTATAATAGAAAATATCTTTTTCGTTTCAAATAGAGTGCAACAGCACCAACAATAAATATGGATACGGATTTAGAACAAATACAAAAACCACTTGATGCTATTATCAAAGCATTAACTGATAGTCCAACAGGCGAAACAGAAATGTATTTTGATAAAATACATTTATCACCACTCAAAGTATATTTAAATCATTTATTATTATATTTAAAATAATAATCCCTTTCATTTAGATTCATGTTAGTTTTTCAATGCATGGATCAAAATCAAGTCAAGTATTATTAGCTGAATATCCATTAGTTGCATTTTTATTACAAACATTAAATGTTGCAGAAGTACAAGATATTATTTTACGGTAAGATTTATCTATAAAAGAAAAATAATAAGTTCATTTGTATATGTTGTTTTTCTTATGTATAGTTTGGGTTACTATGAACGAACACATGATCGATATACAATAACAAAATTATCGAATGAAGTTTCATCTCATTATCAAAATCAATTTATGAAACAACTTCATGTACTTGTTCTTGGTCTTGATGTACTTGGAAATCCATTTGGTGTTATTCGCGGTCTTGCTGAAGGTGTTGAATCATTTTTTTATGAGCCATATAGAGTAAGAAATTAAATGATATATATGCAGATAAATATGGATTTTTATCTTTTAGGGTGCAATTGAAGGTCCAGTGGAATTTGCTGAAGGTGTAGCAACAGGTGTTCGAACATTAGTTGGTTCAGCTGTTGGTGGTGCTGCTGGTGCATTTTCAAAAATAACTGGTGTACTTGGAAAAGGTTTAGCTACATTAACATTTGATGAGGATTATAAAATTTCACGTATAAGACGAAAACAACCAACAACTCATAGAACTACTGATATTGCTATTGGGGGAAAAAATGTTGTTATGGTATGATGAGAAGATATGTTTGATTAGAGTTTTTAATTGTTTGTTTTTTTTGTAAAGGGTTTTGTTAATGGTGTAACAGGTGTTGTTATAAAACCAGTTTCAGGTGCTAAAGAAGGTGGTGCATCAGGATTTGTTAAAGGTTTAGGAAAAGGTTTTATTGGTCTTGTTACAAAACCAACAGGTGGAGTTGTTGATTTTGCAAGTACTTCATTAGATCTAATAAAACGGTAAAGAATAAATAAATTAATTAATTTTATTTTTTATTATATTAAAATTATTTAGAACTGCTCAACAAGAAGAAGTTGTACGACGTGTTCGTTATCCACGTCATGTTGGCCATGATGGTCTTGTTCGACCATATATTTGTCATGAAGCAATGGGATTTTTTATTTTAAATGTAATTATTTAATTTATATTTTATTCTAATAAATTTTCTTTTTGAAATATATTTTTAGAAATTAAAAAATGGGAAATATGCTAAAACAGATACGTATGTTGCACATATAACTTGTTCAGACAATCCACCCTCTTGGTTATTAGCTACGTCAAAGTAAAAACGTTTCGATTAATTATTTTATTAAAATAAATTTCGAAAAATTTTAGACGTTTATTATTTATAACTGAAATATCATTTCTTGGTTTATATGAAATTGATTGGCGAATTGAATATGAAGATTTAAGAGAAGAACCAGTTGTGAAGTCTTATTCAAATCGAATACAAATTCTTACAAAAGTAATTCGTTAAAAAAATTAAAAGATAAAATATTCTATTTATTTATTATTTAAGGAATCAAAGAAAACTGGAACATTAAGGTCAACTCGCTCATATGGTAAAATGGTTATATATCGAAATATATCTGAAGCTCGAGTAGAATAAATTTGTTTTATTAAAAATTTTATTATTTATTTTTGTTTTTTTTAGTATATTGTTGATAGAATTACTAATGCAATGCATACCATTGGTCTTTAAACAATTCTATTTTATTTTAATGCAGCACATTTCTCTCTATTATATGCGTTTTCAATAACTGCATAATCTAGCAATGTTTATCGAAATTCTTATCTAAACATACTCAATGACATAATTATGTAGTTTTTCTTTTTGATATAATTAATTTGAGCTTTATGAGAACATTTAAATATATTTCATATCAAAAACATTTACTCATGTATAAGTAGAATTTGAGTGTGGGTGTGAGTCTGGATATTAGATAAAGATATTATCCACACCCTCAAATTAGTTTAAATTGACTGTAGTCACATGCTCTAGTTTTGGATGGTCATGAGAAAAAAGTCATAGCTTTCTCATAAATTTTCTTCGCTTGAAATAATTTAAAGATTCATTGATGTTCGTCAAATTAACTCAACAATCTTGGCGTTTGAATCTTTTACGCATGTCCAGACTAATCAGAGACCATATTGTGCGTTATAATACAATAGGTATGTTAACGGATGAATCATCCGAGGCACATATCCATCAGATAACTGTTCTAAGATAGAAAACGTAAGTCGCAGTCGATAGGAAACGATGGTCAAATAGTTAAAACGTTTGATGAGTTTTTTCTAAAATTGTTTGATGTCCTTTCTCTAATTCTTATTCTATTTCGGTGTGAATTCTAGGAAGGACATTAGAATGGATTAAATTAGCCATAAAACATGCATCACTACAACCATCACCAATATATTTTCTTTCACTAATAAATGAAATTCTTGAAAGAATTTCATTTTAATCATTTGATTTTATTGAAAATACTCTTCAATTATGTAAACATGCATTTGAAATAGAAAACATTTTTCAAGAACTTTTCTTTACTCTCTAATAACCCTTATCTTGAACTAATGTAAAATAGAAATTTTTATGATGATTTAACATTAAAACAAATAAAAAATGTTTGATGAATAAGTAATTGTATTAATTCTGACATTTAAAAATGATAATAATCATAATGATATTATTAAATGTATTGAACAGGTTCTGTTATTATCTATTCCATTAATTTATCAATCAAATAAATATTTTCAGAAAAAAATTTAATTCAAACATTACCAGATGGTTTTGATATTTATTTAACAATCCGTTGATTTAAAACAAAAAATATTTCAAGCATAAAGAATTTTAAATGTTAAATCAATGAATCAAATAGTTCAAATAACCACGTATAGTTTAAGAATTGTACTAAATCGAAGATAATCTCGTCGAACATCCCAATACATCCAGGCAGTCGCCTTAACAAGAAACTCAAAAAAAAGAATAACAACGTGTTTATTTAACCATAACATGAAGCAAACTTATTGAATTCAAAACCCAGGTCAATGATTCCTGAAGCAGTATTCCATGAATCATCGGTTACGGTCATCGGATCCATTCGAGGGGAATACTGCTCCCATGAAACCTTAGGAATATCACGGAACCGACCGTTTCCATGCTGGATTGTTTGACCTGGGAAATGGCGTCTGGATCAGATGAGGCGAAAGTTACGAATAAAGTAATAAAAATTAAAAATTATTTAAAAAAATTTATTTCAGTTAAAGTTTGGTATAAAATTAGAAACGAAATTAATCAAGAATGATGTTGCAGGTGAAAATCTGGAAAAGTCTTGAAAAATCTTGCAAAAGATACGAATAATCATTCAGAGAAATTGTATAAGTCAAGATTTAAACAGTGTAAGCAAATCGTATCCTATATTAAGTACATAAAGTACCCAGTAATCTTTTTTAGTATGTACGGATAACAATACTGTTGATGATGATGAGGATGACAGTCTTCAAATCGATAAAAAATTAAGAAACTATGGTTCGCTTAATAATGATGCTGAATCGCAAAATTCTCTCGAACAACATCATGAATTAATTTCAATGCCTTCATATGATAAACTAATTGAATTGGCCATCAATAAAGAGATGAATGACGTAATTTGTTCTTTAATTTAATACTTAGAGTGTGGGTGTGGGTATAAGAATTTAAAAAGAAGGGCAGCTACACTCAT